AGACCTCTGATTATACTAGCTTTTCAGATTAATTTGGCTTCTGCTTTCTTTTCTAATACTATTGATTTGAGAAATTCAAACTAGGCTGTGTCTCGGCAAAATACCGGAATATTGAACCATGCTACTTCAAATGCTACATTTTCAATATTTTTCCATATAGGTTCTAAAGAGGAGCAGATCAATACATGTTCCAATATCTCTTTTTTTTTGTTACAGATAATACATATTTCTGACTGATAGATATCAGGTCTTCTTTTCATTAATGACACCATAACAGGCATTTCATCTACAAGATATTTAATATATAGAGCTATTTTCTTGTTTATATTAAAGAAGCTACATCTTACATCTGATTTTCTTTTAAAATCTCTCCACAATCTATACCAATTGTGTAGGGGTATTTTCTTACTTGGCTCTAGATTTTCAATAGAACTAGCTACTCTAAGATTTGTTTCTGTTTGAAGTTCAAAGAGTTTTTTGAGAAAGATATTTGTTGGTCCTTCAATATAAATCTCATTCCAGTGTAAAGTAGTTTCGAAGTGCTTGTTTGATTTTAGACACAGATCAGAAAAGGCTTCTAGTTTAAGACCTTCTTTTGCAAGTTTATCTGCTTCTTTATTCTATCTATCTTCACTATGACCCTTTACTTTGATAAAGTTGACTACTAGTTGTTTGGACTTGTTAAGGTCTTGGATCTTCATAACTAAACTAAAGTTCTTTTCTTTCAACCATCTATGAATATTATTTAACTGAATACTTTTATCCAGACTTGCAATTGCCACTGCACTATCTGTATATAAATCTTCTTCTAAATTAACTGGTGCTACTAATAATGCTATCCATATTGCTACCAATTCTGCTTTCATCAATAACAGCCAACCCCTATATTTCAGATTACTCTTCACTATACTACAATCTCTATCCTTATTAACCCAGATCTAACTTGCTCCCATTGTTTTATTACCAGATAAATCTGCTAGAGAACCATCAGTATAAATTTGTATTTTAACTTTCTGATCTCTAACTTGACTATATTGTTCAACTAGATCATCTTGAAGTTTCTTTACAAAATTTTGAGATTTTATAATTTCTATTGCTAATTCTTCTACCTAAGTTAGATTAATAAGTCTCAACTTGGTTGTTTCAACATTTACCTTATTGCTAGTACTCTTTGTTAAAACTAACTTAAGTACTGATAGGAAGTTTTCTTTTTGTTTGATTAGCTTTTTGGGAAATACACCAATCACTTTCGACTAATTAATATATATTATATGTCTCTTATTTCTTATACTAGTATTATTAAAGACTTGAGGTTGACTTAACTCATCTAAATCTCCTTCTTTATCATTATCTCCATCTCACTATTCAACTGTAACTTGAGTACCATTTTTATAAATAACTTGGCCAAGAGTTCTCTGGTTATTTTTGGCTCAGAAAATAATCCACTTTTTTTTCTACTTGTCTTTTCTAATGTGATCTAGCTTGAGTCTTAGTGTGAACTCATTTGGTGATAATGTATGAAAATTTCATTTAGTTAATCTTCCCTCCTTGTTTTCCAGGATCTTATTTTCTAGTTCTGTGAACCATTTAGTCTTTCTTCTCCTGCTTGACCTCTTCTTTATTAGATTAAACTCTTGCTAAGTTAATGCAGATTTCCATCTATTCCAATAAGTTAGTTTAGAAAGAAAATATTTTGCAAGCTTAAAACTTTGTATGCTCTTGTAAAAATAAGCAAATCTATGATATCTTTAATTTTTATGCCTATATTTCTTAGAAAAAAAGAGCTATCTTCTATAACAATATCAATTTTAATATCTTTAGCACGTAACAAAGTAAGATATGCCAAATTGTTTTTCTATATCTTTTCAAAAGTTTTCTTTTCTTCACTACTTCAGTGATTACTTGTTATATAAGAATCTTGAAAGCCTTGTTTAATTCATACTCTTGTTGGACTTTTGATAGTATTCTACCATTTAGCCTATGATATAAACAGTTTATCTGTTTTGCTATAATGTCATGTGCTAATGCTTTATAACCACCTAAGCCTCTATGAGTAACAATAAAGTTCCCTGCTAATCTTGCTATTCCTAGTTTATTTTTAAACAAACAGATAAATAGTTGATAAATACTATTAAGAGTCTTTGTTGAGATTTTTATCAATTGCAACATGTAGTTTAGTTTGGAAATCAGACATATATTGTTTAAGTATGCTAGTTGGCTTATAGTTATTTTTTTGGATTTAATACAAGGGTGAATTGTTATACTATATCTCTTGCTTTCTTTTTAATATCTACTTCTTTCATCTTTTCACAAAGCCATATACCTAATATTCTAACAAAAGATTGCAAGTGTTCTGACTTTACTTCTATACTATTGAATTTTACTGATCTATTTTTTGCTTTTTCCTTTGTATTTAGTATTACTAGTTTTGATTTGCTACTATTAATTTCTATATTATTAATTTTGAAGAATTCCTCCGCCAAACTAATAATTTTTTGCATTTAATCTTTATTACTTGCCAACTATATTTGTTATCTGTATAGGCTATTACTGAGTGCCTAATAATTAAATTATCTAAGAGATCACTAGCAAATTCTGTTAATTTCTCAGACTTAATCATATACCCCAACTCTGGATATTGGCTAATTCTTTGCAGAAGTGGGTTATAGAAGATATGCCAGATAAGAGGAGAAATCACTTCTCTCTGATCGATTCCATCTTGTGTCTCAAATAACTCTGTTGTGTCTATGGCTATAATTATCTTGACTTTTCTTTTTTCAAAAAGGTTTATAATAAACTATATTGCAGCTGATGGCATTTTAATTTTTTAAAGAGCTAACTTGAGCATACTCAGTAAAACTAAATTAAATGCCTTTTTCATATTCTGGAATAGGACCCAAAAGAAATTCTGAATAAAACAAAAGAACACTTCCAATATTAATTTTAAAGGAGATTTGTGCAGGCCAAAAACTTATTACCAGAATGGAAAAAAATCTATAGCCCCAAAACAAATATAGAAGAATCTTGGTATAAAGAACTATTACTACCAGTAATGCTTGATGAATAGTTACAGGCTCTCAATACTATGAAAAATAACTCAGCACCTGGCATTTCTGGAATTAACTATCTTCTTATTAAAAAGTTAAGTACAAAGGCACAAAAATCTTTTGCACTTTTGCAAGTAACTATATTACTAAAAGCAATATTTCTTTAAAATGAAAAAAAGCACAAATCTACTTAATTCCAAAAGGTGCAGATTGGAAGTTTTCACTAAACAAAGTCCACCCAATTGCTTTTCTAGAATCCTTTAAAAAATCTATAATCAGAATCTTTAGTAGAAAACTTGCAACAATTTGTATAGATAGAGAAATCCTACAAGGTCCCAACTTTGCTAGGCTCCCTAGTGGGTCAACTGAAACACCTGTTCATACAATTAACATGTTGATAGAGGATGCAAAAGATAATAATAGAGAGTTGTGGGTCTATTATAAGTCTTTTTTTATTATTTGAGAATTTAAAAATGTAGTCGAGAAACCCGATTTATTAACTCTTCCCAATGATCACTTGCACCAAAATTTGCTAAAACAAAACTTAAGTTTTCTAAAAATTGCTCCTCCTAATATATATTTTTTATTAAATTTTATTGTTTTACACCCAAATTCATATATAGTTACCAAGTTTTATAGCTTTAAACAAAATTTTAACTAAATTAAATAACTTTCTGTT